CAATTTAAATGTTATTAAAATAATAAAAATTTAATATTAAAAAATAAAAATTTATTTAAATATTTCAACAATTAAATATATTAAATAATAAAACATTAAATATAGATAAATAATTATATAATAAATTATTTAAAATGTAATAACTTTAAAATAAATAAAATTAAAATAATGAATTTTTAAATATTTTACATTTTATTTGAATATTTAAATTATGAAATATTTAACATGACTAAATTTTAAATAGTTAAAATAACAAAAACATGTAATAAATTTAAAAAATTTCTTAAAAGTAGAAAATTAATTATAGTAGATTTCATAATATTCATATTAATAATAATTTAATATTTTACACAATTAATAACAAATTATGTACTAATATTACTAATTATAATTTTGTGGATTATTAAATCTAATAACTAATTAATATTTTATAAATTGAAATAAAATATTATTAAAATAACTAATTTCACTTATATCGATTAATGATTATAAAAAATAAATTTCAAAAAAATAATATTTATTAGTAATAATTTTACAATAATAGTGTATATTCATTATATATTTATATGTACTAAAATTAATATTTATTGTATTTTCAGTAATTATTTATTGAAATAAAAGTTTTATTTAAATAACTAAATAATATTTTAAATAACTAATTTCACTTATATCAATTAATGATTATAAAAATAGCTTTCAAAAAAATAATATTTATTAGTAATAATTTTACAATAATAGTGTATATTCATTATATATTTATATATACTAAAATTAATATTTATTGTATTTTTGATAGATATATTTTCAATAATTATTTATAAGTCTATTTTTGTTGTGTTATTTAACATAAAACTGTCAATAATTATTGTAGATTGAACATCTATTATTTAACTTTTGAAATTTAATTTATTGTATTTTTGTTATAAATTTATTTTTAGTAATTATGTATTTTTTATAATTTATTGATTAATATTTTTTAGAGATTAAACTATTATTTGAGATTACATTATTTGTTGATTAATTTGATGTATTTTCATTATAAATTTATTTTAAATAATTGTGTATTTTTTCTATAAATTTTCAATAACTATTAGAGATTAAACTATTAATTTATTTGAAGTTAGTAGTATTAAAGGATTGGTTTAGTTTGGTTGCAAGCTATTTTGCCTACCAAATGGACTTGGTCAGGTTAGGAGTTTGTCACCCAAAACTGACCGGTCATTAGTGAAAACCCATCAACTCGGGTTGTATCGGTTTGGGTTTATTTTTGATTTGGTTTGTTTGTTCAAAAGATTTAAGCTTCAAAATTAAAATTAAATTTAATAAATCACAATGGTATTAGTAAAAAATAAATTAAAAGGGAATTAGATTTATGATATAATATATTTTAGACTAAGAAATATGAGAAACATTCCACTTTCCAGTATTAAAAAAATATATTTAAAATATAAAATATTAAAATTTTAGACTAAAAAATCATATTAATATGGTTGGGTCAGTTCAGTTTTGTTCGGTTTACAATAATAGTGTATATTCATTATATATTTATATGTACTGAAATTAATATTTATTGTATTTTCAGTAATTATTTATTGAAATAAGAATATTATTTAAATAACTAAATAATATTGTAAATAACTAATTTCACTTATATCAATTAATGATTATAAAAAATAGCTTTCAAAAAGATAATATTTATTAGTAATAATTTTACTGTAATAGTGTATGTTCATTATATATTTATATGTACTAAAATTAATATTTATTGTATTTTCAGTAATTATTTATTGTATTTTTGATAGATATATTTTCAATAATTATTTATAAATCTATTTTTGTTGTATTATTTCACATAAAACTGTCAATAATTATTGTAGTTTGAACATCTATTATTTAACTTTTGAAATTTAATTTATTGTATTTTTGTTATAAATTTATTTTTAGTAATTATGCATTTTTTTATAATTTATTGATTAATATTTTTTAGAGATTAAACTATTATTTGAGATTACATTATTTGTTGACTAATTTGATGTATTTTCATTATAAATTTATTTAAATAATTGTGTATTTTTCTATAAATTTTCAATAAATATTAGAGATTAAACTATTAATTTATTTGAAGTTAGTAGTATTCAAGGATTAGTTCAGTTTGGTTGCAAGTTATTTTGCCTACCAAATGGACTTGGTCAGGTTGGGAGTTTGTCACCCAAAACTGACCAACCATTAATGGAAACCCATCAACTCGGGTTGTATCAGTTTGGGTCTATTTTTGATTTGGTTTGTTTGTTCAAAAGATTTAAGCTTCAAAGTTAAAATTAAATTTAATAAATCACAATGGTATTAGTAAAAATAAATTAAAAGGGAATTAAATTTATGATATAATATATTTTAGACTAAGAAATATGAGAAATTTTCCACTTTCCCGTATTAAAAAAAAAACATATTTAAAATATAAAATATTAATATTTTAGACTAAAAAAATCATATTAATATGGTTGGGTCAGTTCAGTTTTGTTCGGTTTATAAATGGTCAAACCGAAATTGACCTAACTTGGTCGTATTGGAAAATTGCTGAACCAAAACTGATTAGAAATATTAGGAAGCCGACCAACTCGGATCGAATTGATTATTAAAAAGTTAAAATATAAAATAATTATATACTCTTATGTATTTCTATTGTTTAGTTTTCGCTTAACAAAACCTGTGCATTTCATGAGCCCCACTAGTATATATATAAAATTTGTATTCACCTCTAAACCCAAGTTGAACCCCTAAAGAAAGTGAAAGATAAATGAACTTCAATGTTACTTAGGACTGAATTTGCTAGAAACTCAGCACAAGTTGCAAACATAAAACAAAGAGTATGAGAAAGAAAGATAATGCAAAACGCCCCTACATTCCTATTGGAAGTTCTTTTGATATTAAAAAACAAACCCAAAGAAAAAATACGTGAGCGGCAAAATTCGAAACTGCGCAGGCAGAACCCACATGATTTCCAGTCATAACCGATAACCACCCCGGCACGCCCAGTTAATCATCCATTATATCATATTAGTTCTTTCTTCAATAGATAATTTCGCCCTCTCCTCTATATAATCATTGAAATGCTTAAATGTTAAATACTTAAATCCACGCATACACCCCCGTTACTTTATCAATTAAAATATCTGATGACGACAATATGGAATTTTCGTTTTTTGAAGAAAAAACAATAAGGAAATTTATCCAAATCACCCTCTTCCTAACATATTCTCCAACGGAGATTTTTAGAAGCCATGAATCGAGTGAGAGCATGACATCGAGAAGTCATCATACCTACGAGATTGATAACCAATCAATCGGTATCATCAAGGTGCTAACCAATCTGCTGGTGATGGCAATATAGATAAATGATTCTTTTCTTTCATTAAAAAAATAAATATTTTCTTTGAAGCGAAAGCAAAGTTTTAAAGTTTTAAAGGCCGTTTGACAAGTCTTTTTTAGGAAGATCTTCTGATAGTTTTGATGGTCAAAAGATGCATTGAGCTTTTGCATGAAAAATGCGAAAATTGAGAATAAAGTGAGAAAAATGCGAAAAGCTCCATTTGGAGTTCTCCGAAATCAGCTCCAAATAAACTTCTTATGTCTTTTTGATGCACTGACTTTTGGCAGCTAGATCTGTTATGAATCAAACAGGAAAAGACTGCAACGTGGTTTGCCTGACCTGTAAACAACTGAAAGACCACATGGAAAGACACACCAAACAGGGCCTTAATTAAAATAAAAATTGAGAATTTGGGTCCCTAAAGGGAGATGGATTGTTCTCATCAGGGGATGGAGGTTGGTTTTTTTGGCTAATGAAGATTAGGGTCAGGGATAGGTAGATATGTAAATCGGGTCGTGCTGACCCATGTTTGGCCTAACACATCTTGGCATGATAGCACATGGGCCATGTTGGGCTTGGATTTCGGGGCCCAAGGGCCGACACAGCATAGAGCAACGAAGCAGGTCGTACCTCCTGCATGCCAGCACGACCCAACACACAGTACACACATACACTAAATTTTATTATACTATTTTATTCCAATTGTAATTTTTTAATTTCATATATAAACAATTGTACACATCAAAATTCATATAAATTTAAAATTTTCATTATTTTTTTCAAAAATTTTAAAAAATATACCTCTCGTGGATTGGCCTAGCTTGACTTGTAAACCAACCCGAATTGTGACACAATACAACCTAGGCCTACCTAAGCCTATGCCATGGTCCATGCTAGAACAGACCTCTGAAGTATCCCAGAGCCAGAAGTAACAAGCATGGCCTGATTTACACCTCTAGGGATAAGGAGTATAAGGAGTATGGTCACCACCCTCTTGTCGGCTGGTATTCATAAAAACCCGTAAGTGTTGTGATTGGTTAGAACTCTTCCAGTACCATACCTTATCCAGAAATAGCATCATAGATATTGCCTAATCATTAATTTTTGTTATCATTAATAATAAAGGGTTTTTTTGCCATTTCACCACGTGCACCCTATTTGTAAAAAATATAAACAAAAAACAAAAAAAGAACATTCTTGATTAATAGATGGAATTTGCCTCTAAATCAATCACAGAATGACATTTAGGCTGTGTTTGGAAATGATGCAAATAGAGTGTAAATCCCGGTTCAGGGTAAATTTGTACTCTGGTTCACTTTTTGCCTATATTTGGAAACATTACATTTATACATTAACAAATGACAGACCAATGAATATTTACATTGATAATAAGATGTAAAAGTACGTCAATAAAAAAGAAGTAAATTTGCATTCAAGTGGGGTTTTGATAAAAAAAAATGCATATGCTTTATTGAAATTCATATTTGCATCCATTACAGCTAAAACTAACCCAACTTTGGTAAGAAGGTAAATTTGTCAGTGCAAAACTAACCCAACTTTACATTTTATATGAACCACTTTACACTATATATTTGCATTCTTTCCAAACACAGCCTCAAGAATCAAGCCAACCTGAAAAGAAAGCATACATCACAGATTGTTATTATTATACTCCCAAAGAAAGCATACATCACATATGGTTATTATTATACTCCCACATATGACATGGAATATATTTTCCTTAGTGTTGGAACTGTGAAGGCAAATAACTTTTGACTTAATATTCTCATAACTGTTGAGACCATCTTACATTCATTGGGGAGATATTCCCAATGTACAGCTGTAATGTCCTGTGGGTAGGAGACCGGATTTGTTTCATCATATTCATATGCCTATCATGTTCGACATCATTCGTTGGAGCAGAAGTCACATTTCAACAAAATGCTTGTTTACAGTAAAACCCAAACATTGGAATCTTGGCTGGTATTAACATTTAAACTGTACATAGAACTATATAATAGGAGGTAATGCCCGACATCCCCCACACAGCTAAATTATATGATATCCGAGCCATCCCCAAAGTGTTCCAAATCCGGATGAATCCCACCACCAGGCCTCCTTGGGACCCTGCAAAGAATTCGAGAAAAATCTCAAGTGTCAAATGGGTATAAGCTACAAAATGTTTACAAGGAAAGTTGCATCGTTATCATAAGAATAGAAAAGTATAACGTTGTCAGCCTGATGCAATACTTCTGTTTTTCAGCCTATTGAGAAACTTTACTTTATGCAAGTTGACCACCCATATTTATGTGTATTACTGTTAGTCATCTAAAACAGTGATATGGACCAATGATTGCGATGATGACCTGAAATGAAAGACTGGATAGCTCCTTTTGGAATCCCAAGGGTTGAACATGAACATTTCACAACCTCAAGATACTAATACAACAGAAAGAATGAGCAAGATATGACACTTGATGGCAATGGTACTCAAAGGGATGTCAAGAATGTGATGTCAATTCTATTTTTTTGTTTGTTGGCTTAACAGCTAGAAAATCATTGTCCCCAAGGATCAAAATACCTGGCAAAACGGCTAGGCTCAAAACCAGGAACGCCTGGAGGGCCATAGGGATCAAATCGAGCACCTGGTGGAACACCCCTGTTCATTCAAACTTCCGAGATTAGAATCTATGCATTGTATGCATAATCACTACCATAACAAATCCAGAAGGGGGGAGCACTGTAATATATACTCACGGAGCTCCACCGGGGAATCTATGTTCTCCACCTATGCCACCAAACCAGCTGGGGTCATTTGGTCCTGTTCACACCAGAAAAAAAAAATGTCACTGCAAAGGGAGCCTTGCATTTTAATTCCTTTTAAGATATCATCAAATAGACTAGTTACAGACCTAGAAGCATGCCTCCACCAATGCCAGTGCCCCTGAGGAAGACAGATAATGCAAATACACAAATGGTCAACTGAGAAACTGAAATTGGAAAAACAAATGGACCAAATAGAGAAAAAAAGGAACCTGGAAGGATAGACTCCAGCTGAAGGCCCGGGGTAAAGATCACTTGAACCAAGAGAAGGAACTGGAGGATATACAAGGCTGCAACATGGAAACACAGACAACTGAGCTGCATAGAAGGGGGAAACTACAGTATAATTTTAAAAAATTAAAAAGAAATTCATTAAACTCGTAAACAACAATCACATCACCCAAGAAGAAGTTTGCAAAACTGCCCCCAAATCTAACCCAACAAACAACAAAAAACCACTTCACCCAACTGCACCCAACTCAATTCACATCCCATCCAACAAAGCAAATCTATTTCCTGTCCACTCCACTTCCATCACCATGTCAACGATTGACGACGATCCTTAACTTCCAATTCCATAAAAGTCTTCCTTGTAAACTCCTCCCCACCCAATCTCTTCCTCCTACCAGAATAGTTCCAAAATTTTTTAACTTTTAAATTTCTATTCAAAACCACCTCTTTTATTTTTTTCTTCCAAGCTATTACTAAGGTGGGTCCACAGCTTGTCTCTTCTACCACTTGAGTAGTATGCCTCTTTTGTCTAAACCTTTTTCATTCCATAATTTTTCGAGTTCTGATCTCTTGATTTTCATAACAAGCCCCCCCCCCCCTTTTGTCCACATTTATTATTACCCACCCTTTCAAACTTCTCCAAAATTACATTTTTGCACCAGGAGTGATCTGGTCCATCTTCTTCCCCAAACCACCAACTATTAGTCTTCCCCTTCATCACAGAAACCCTCATCTGCTCAGTAGCCTCCCGGCAATCTACACATCTAGGGAAACCGGTGCTCTAAGTTGGATCCTCCTCCTTGATCGTGACTGGTCATAATTCTTGTCCACGTACCAGAATTTGACCGAAACTGGTATTTCAGAAACATCATTAACCTCATCCAGCAACCTTGCTGAACCTATTTTTTCCCAGGTTCGATTTCTGTCATCAAGTTTCAAAAATATCCAACAGCAATGACCCACCACCTCAAGCATATCTACACGACAAGCATGCAGAGGAATTCCGGAAACTGCAACCCACACCACCCTCCTACCTCACGATATCCCCAACTTCCAAATTAGACCCAACAAATCTTCCTACGAGGCAGGTCTTTAACAAATTGAATGCAATATCCAAAATTAATCTATTTCGAGAGCCCAAAGCAGGCAATTTGGGCACCAAAAGATAGACTATCAAGAAAATATACCCACTATAGTTTACATCTCCATCTGAGGAATGAACTAATGCAAGAAAAGAATGAACTTATGTGTAAAAAACATTGTAAAGACTAAAGAATACCCAGGAGGTATTTGTTGCGGGACTTGTGGCTCAGTGACTCTTACACCAGGATCACTTTTGTCATGCTCTGACTCCACACTTGCTTTTGACCTGCAAAAATGCATATGAATAAGATTTTGTTAAGGGACCCTTGAAGAATATAATAAATTTAGATATACTTACAAACTATGTACTTGATATTCATACCTTTATGTCTCTAAACGAGGATCAAAGAAAAGAAAAAGAATCATTTCACAGTTAAAAGTTCAAATCAAAAATATTAACCCATGTCACTTCCATTGAAATTGTTTTTTTTTTTGGAACCGTAAGGTAAAGTACTTCATTAAAATCAAAAGGCCAAAATACAATAAAGCCCCTGTAAAATAAGAGACTGGTCAGATGATGTACAATCTGCCCATTACAGCCCAAGTCCACCCCCCCCCCCAAAAAAAAAAACCACTCCTTACAAAAAGGAAATCAAAATCAAAAAAGAAGAGGAGAATGTCTGTTTCTAAACTATCCACTTCCATTGAAATTGTCAAATTTTCATAATTACTTAATTCTACTGTAGTTAATAAAATCACTTAAGAAAGGATTGGAATTGCATTATTTTTGAGTCTTCTTTAGAGATTCAAGGGAATGTCTCTGCTGTATATGCTCTCTCTGAGATTTAATTTCCAATCTTAAGTCTCTATGTATCCATTCAAGGTAACCTTTCCCTCTTTTTTATAATGAATTATTGCCATTTATCAAAATAATAATTTTTTTCATAATAAATAAAAAGAAAACTTTTATTAAAGAAGAAGATACAAGTATACAACAAGGTGTCAAGATATCACCAACAAAATTTCAAAACCCACAGCCCACATCACCAAGACCCTCCAACCCCTTTAATACAGATGTTTTTCTTCCCCATATTTTACAAACACAATAAAACTCACTGCCAAAACCCAGGACACTTCAAAGCCCAGCAGAGACCCCCTCGAAAAAAAAAAAAAAAAAAAAGATCCCCAATCCAACAACGATCCTATAAACTCTCACCATTCAGGCATCCCCTTTAAAGCTTTTTTTGTTCAAAGGATACATCTCTTTCCCGGTTCCCAGAACATTTTTCTTGCAAATCTTCCCCTTCTATAAAACATAACCCTAATATCTTGCTTACTTGGACTTCAGTTTCTACTATTTTTTCCAAGTCCATATTTCCCTCTATTTTTCTCACTCAATCCATAACCACCTCCTCATTTTTCTCGTCTCCTTTCTCTTCCTCTAATTCGTTCTCAGTCTCCCAGATCTCCTCCTCATTAGTTATTGCATCTTCTTTTTGAACATCTGAAATTTCCCCCACTTTCTTTTCTCCAGGACTGTTTCTTGCGCTGCTCTGAGATACCTCTTATACTTACTGCAGGGACCATCTCCAAAGAGCACTTCATTCAAACAATAAAAGACCTTTATGACATGAACTAATTGTCCAACGTTTGACCCTTTGGGTTTTATCAAGTTTACCAACAAAGCATTGCCACGTTTGATTTCTTCAACCAAACTGGCATATCTTTAACAATCCGTCACCCACCTTCTTCTCACTGCCATGGGGACTTTCAGGACCCTTGGAGAATTCACACCGAGTGTTAGATTATTCAGATTGTTGTGTGTATGATGAATGGTGGTACTTTAGAAAGAAAACTTATTCAGGAACTTTGATGAAATATCAGCCCCATTGTGGTCAGTGGTCCTTTTTGTAATTATGGATAATTCTAATAATAATATTGAGTCTCTTTCATTAGAGAGAAACACAAGTGTGCTTATAGCTAGACACAACATTTTTAACTCCCCAACATCAAAATGACAAAGAAGACACTAAAAGTTTGCCCAAAACAAAGAATCCTTAGCCACCCCTTGCTTAGCTAACCCATCAGCCATTGAGTTAGCACTTCTCTTCACCCAGCTGTATTGCACCTCTACGTCCTTACTCAGCCAATTAAATTTTTTCTTCTCATTGCTGTAGCTCCACAAGCCACTGATATCTCCTTTCAGCCACCTAATCACCACCTCCGAGTCCCCCTCAATAATTAGATATCTGATGCTTAATTCTCTTGCTCTTTGGATTCCTTCAAGAACTGCTAGAATTTCGGCCCTAAGAGAGTCACCCTCTCCAATTGGCCCAAAGAACATGGCAATAATATACCCCTCATTCCTGAAAACACCCCCTATCCCAGAAGGCCCCGGATTCCTTAAGCTACATCCATCAAAGTTCAGTTTTATGAATCCGGCGGGAGGGGGGTCCAAGATGGTCTACAGGTCCTTTTACAAAGAGCAGCAGTGGCTACCTCTTTCCACTTTCTCAACAAGTCTGCCATAGAAAAATCAGAGAATATCTCCATTGATTTCAGCCAGTGAGCTACCCTTGAATGTATCAAGTCTATTAGGTTTTCTGTGGTTCTTTGCTTATCTAAAAAAATTCGTGAATTTCTTTCTTCCCATATTGACCAGCACACTGCAGCCCTAATGCTTCTCCACATAACCTTCCCCCTTTTCTTAGGCCATCTAAGGAATGAGGGAGAGAACAAGCATTGCACACTCACGGGGGAATTCCATGTATACCCAAAAAGGGAAAACACCCATTCCCAAACAGTCTTAGTAACTGGACAAGTAACCATAATGTGGTAACCCGTTTCCCCATCAGCTTTGCAAAGAATACACCTATTGGGAGATAAACAGCAGTTGGGCCTCTTTCTTTGAAGCAAGTCGTTTGTGTTAATTCTTTCCAGGAAAATTTCCCAACAAAAACTACCAACCCGAGGAGGAATGGATTTGCTCCAAATCTCTTTAACAGGGAATGACAGCCCAAGCGGAGTAGTAGGTTGAACTAATGTCTCAAAAAATGAGGCACAAGAGAAAGAGCTGGAGGAGGAAGGAGTCCAGATTCTGGTGTCTTCCTTACTAGGGTTCAAGAAAACATTTTCAAGGACGGTTAGCAAAGATGAGATACACCCCAAATCTGTATCCCTTACCGCCCTTCTCAACCCCAGATTCCACCCAAACCCAGAAGAAGAATCAGAAGGAACTAAGAAAGAGGAAATGGGTTCATTTTTCAAACTTGACAAAGCAAACAATGAGGGAAATTGGTCTCTCAGGGGTAGGTCCCCAACCCAAATTTGCTCCCAAAATTTTATTCGATTACCGTAGTTCAGATCGTACCTGATCCAAGGGGAGAAAACTGGAAGCAAATCATGAATGGCTTTCCATAGGGATGCGGCAATAGCCCTTGCCAAAATTCTTGGATCCCAGTCATTCTCATCCAGCCCATGTATGCTAGCCACAATCTTCGTCCACAATTTGTCCCTTTCCAACAGGAATCTCCACAACCATTTCCCCAATAATGCCATGTTCCTTTTCTTGATATTCCCAATCCCAAGCCCCCTAGCTTCTTGCTCCTATTTACCACTTCCCAACTCACCAATGGTCTTTCTTCTCCACTCCTGGTTTCCATAAAAAATCCCTCATTAATTTTTCCACCCTGTTGAAAACCTTTGTAGGAATCTTAAACACTGACATGAAGTAAACATGAAGATTAGAAAGGGTAGACTTAATCAAGGTGATTCTCCCCCCAAGAGAAAGATAATTTTTCCTCCAAGAAGAAAGCCTCTTTTCAAATCTCTCTACTACCGGGTTCCAAAAGCTTTCATTCCTAGGGTTATCTCCTAGGGGAGGCCCAAATAAGTGATAGGCCAATCCGAGATAGAACACCCTAATACACCTTCACAATCACTTACTTCCCTTTCCTCCAAATTCACTCCCACCACACAACTCTTATCGAAGTTCACTTTAAGATTAGACATCTGCTCAAAGAGTTGTATTGTCAGTTTTAATTTTCTAATCCAATTTAGATCCCCACCCTCACAAAACAGGATTGTTTCATCTGCAAACTGCAAGTGTGTAAGTGGTACTTCCCCCCTTCCGACTCTCCATCCTCATATTAAGTCTCTAGAATCAGCTCTATGTATCAGCCTCCCCGAGACATCTGCAATTAGAGTAAAGAGAAAGGGGGAGAGCGGATCACCTTGTCTTATTCCTCTCATGGCCGGAAAGAAATCCACTGCAGTTCCATTCACCAATATCGAATAATGGCAGCTCCTAATACAACCCCTGATCCATCTACACCATCTGTCTCCAAAGCCAAAACTTCTCATTACTTCCATCAAGAAGGACCAGTCAACTAGGTCATAAGCCTTCTTTAAGTCTAGTTTGCATACCACTCCCTTTTTCTTAGATTTCCTAAAATTCTCTAAACTCTCATTCACAATCAGAATTTGATCAGTGATTTTCCTCTCCTTCACAAAACATCCCTGGTTGGGTGTGATAATGGCTGGAAGAACTTTCTTAATTCTTAGAGACAACACTTTTGCAATTATCTTGTATAGACTATTCACCAAACTAATTGGTCTGAAATCCCTTGGTTGTGATGCTTCTTTCTTCTTAGGGACCAATGCAATGAATGTGGAGTTTAAACCCGGATTAATGACTCCCCTTCTGTGAAACTCCTCAAAAACCATCTAGGCCCTTCTTCACAATATCCCAACAATCTTGATAAAATGCCATTGTGAATCCATCTAGGGCTGGAGCTTTCATCCTATCCATTGAAAACATTGCTTCCTTTATCTCCTCTTAAGTCAAAGTTGTTCTCTAACCCCACTCTGGTTTCTAGTCTAAGAGTTGGCCACTCCAGCCCCTCCACCCTAATCCTCTCATTTAGAGACCTTCCAAAAATTGATTTAAAATGGGTTGCAAAAGCCTCTGCCATTTATGTTGGGTGGGAAAGAACAACTCCATCAACTTCTAGATTAGAAATGATATTCTTCCTTCTTCTATTGTTTGCCATAGAATGAAAAAATCTAGTGTTTTTATCTCCCTCCTTTAACCATTTACATCTAGACTTTTGTCTCCAACTTATTTCTTCTAGCAATAAAAGATCCTCTAACTGCTTTCTAACCCTCCATCTCAAATCTCTGTCTTCTTCTCCAAAAGAACCCCTTTCCTCCTTCAAATCCAGTTCCTCAGTCTGCTCCATTAGAAGCTTCTTTCTTTCCTCCACTCTTTCAAATTCCAGACAATTC